AATTGGACAAAAAACGATGCTCAAACTATGTGTGGGGGAGGTTCTTTCGAGTTAAATCTTCATTTTTCCATAGCAGGAAGTCAACGGCTGATGTATCAAGTTGAAAAGCCAAGAAACACTGTAAGCACTGTACAAATATTATTTAGAGGTATGAAAGTAAATACCCCAAAATATAAAAAGAGGCAGCCGAAGACATTCACTTCTGGGAGAACTGAGAGTGAAGTAAGACTTGCTTTTCTTTGTAGCCTCTGACTCAAGTGTTTTTCTTTTTTTCTTTAATTAATTGTAGTGAAAAGTTCTATGAGATTACTTTTTTCTTGGCAATAAATTGTAACTTCTTCAGGAAATCATATGGTTCCTCCTTTCTTATGTAGAATAATATAAAGGTTTTAAAGAGTGCCTCCTGCTTCTCATAAGAATTAGGTATTATTTCAATTTTATCTGTAATTGAAAGTAAACAGCATACAATTTCAGAATGTGCTGTTCAAAACCAGCAACAGACTTTGTTTGAAAATAACTGCACTATGGTAAAAATTGGCACAGCTCAATTTCACCTGCAAACACATATTGTTTGGTTTCACATGTGTTTTCTTTTTTTTTTTTTTTTTGAGAGGGAGCAAGCACGCACAAGCGGGGTCGGGTCAGGGGTGGGGAGAGCAGAGGGAGAGAGAAAATCTTAAGCAGGCTCCACACTTAGTGCAGAGTCCAACGCGGGGCTGGATCTCAGAATCCTGAGATCACAACCTGAGCCAAAATCAAGATTGGGACACTTAATCGACTGAACTACCTGAGTGGCCCTCCTTCTTATGTTTAAATTTAATTTATAAGCATTAAAAGATCAGATTTCATGTAAACATCTAGACTTTTCACTTCTCTTGAAAAACCGGAAAATGTAGCAACAGAGGGACCATATTCCTGAGTGGCAACAAATGGCTGGAAGTGAGAAGCTTCTGGTTCCTCAGATGGTGAGTGGACTCTCCCAGTTGGCAGTTTTCACCTGGTCAGCTTCACCTGTCTGGTCCCACCTGCACTACAGGATGAGGAATCCAATTTCTTTTCTTGCAAAAAGAAACAGCATGGAGCAGTGGAAAGATTACTGAATTAGGACTTAAAGTTTTCTAAGTGTGACTTATTGTTTGTGCAACTAGTAAGTCAAAGTAGGCTATTAAGTCATGTCGTGGAAACAAATTAACCAGGTAATCAAGTGGCCTAACACACCAAAAGTTTCTTCCTCACTCACGCTCTATATCCCACAGGAGTTGGCAGGGCGATTGTGCTCTACAAGTCACCCTGGGACCCAGGATGGCTAAGGGTCTGCCATCTTGAGCACCACTGGTTTCCCCCAAAGAGGAGGAAAGATTAGAGATGCCCCCTTCTTCACCCAGAAATGACACTGGCCACTTTCACCCACATTTCATGGCCATAGCTACTCACCTGGGCTCAATTAAGGGAGCTGGGAAATGTAGAACAAATGGACTAATTGGTGAGCATTGCTATCTCTACTACATGCAACCTTCAGTAAATTACTTATCTCATGGGGCACCTGGGTGGCTCAGTTGGTTAAGCGTCCCCACTCTTGATTTTGGCTCAGGTCATGATCTCAGGGTCCTGGGATTGAGCCCAATGTCAGGCTCTGTACTCAGTGGGGACTCTGCTTCTCTCTCTCTCTCCCCCTCTCTGTCCCTCCCCCTGCTCGCACACGTTCTCTTCTCTCTCTGTAAAACAACAGAGACCACACAAAGTAAAAAATTTATTTTACTTATCTCAGTCCTAGTTATGCATCTGTAACATGAGGCGATTAATGGTCTTTCCTCCCTCTTGAGGTTATGAGGCAAATCAAATGAGATCATATATGTTGGCGAGGATGTGGAGAGAGGGGAACCTTCCTACACTGTTGGCGGGAATGCAAACTGGTGCAGCCACTCTGGAAAACAGTATGGAAGTTCCTCAAAAAGTTAAAAATAGAACTACTCTGCAACCCACCAATTGCACTACTAGGTATTTACCTGAAGGACACAAAAATATTGATTCAAAGGGGCACATGCACCCAGATGTTTATAGCAGCATTATCAACAACAGCCAAATTATGGAAAGAGCGCAAATGTCCATCACCGATGAATGGATGAAGAAGATGTGGTGTATATACAATGCAATATTACTCAGCCATAAAGAAGAATGAAATCTTACCGTTTCCAACAATGTGGATGGAGCTAGAGTGTATTATGTTAAGTGAAATAAGTCAGAGAAAGACAAATACCATATGATTTCACTCATGTGGAATTTAAGAAACAAAACAGATGAACATAGGGGAAGGAGAAAAAAAGAGAGAAAGAGAGAAGGAAGCTAACCGTAAGAGATTCTTAAAGACAGAGAAGAAACAGGATTGATGGAAGGTGATGTGTGAGGGATGGGTTAAATGGGTGATGGGCATTGAGGAGGACACTTGTGATGAGCACTGGGTGTTGTATGTAAGTGGTGAACCACTAAATTCTACACCTGAAACAAATTTTACCATCTATGTTAACTAGAATTTAAATTAAAAATTGAAGTTAAAAAGAAAAAAAAACAGAGATCATACATACAGAAGAATTTTGATGAGCTCTAAAGAGTTGTACAAGGGGCGCCTGGGTGGCTCAGATGGTTAAGCGTCTGCCTTTGGCTCAGGTCACGATCCCAGGGTCCTGGGATCGAGTCCCGCGTCGGGCTCCCTGCTCAGCAGGGAGTCTGCTTCTCCCTCTCCCTCTGCCTCTCCCCCTGCTCATGCTCTATCTGTCTCAAATAAATAAAAAATCTTTAAAAAAGAAAATGGGACTCCTTTAAAAAAAATAGTTATACAAATTTATTTATTTTTTTTAAGATTTTATTTATTCATTTGAGACACAAAGATACAGAGAGAGAGCATGAGCAGGGGGAGAGGGAGAAGCAGGCCCGCCAAGCCAGGAACCCAATGTGGGGCTCGATCCCAGGACCCTGGGATCATGACCTGAGCTGAAGGCAGATGCTCAACCATCTGAGCCACCCAGGTGCCCCAAGAGTTATACAAATTTAAAAGGATCATAGTACCTACACTATGGTGAAATATGCTATCACCCCTACAAACACACACACACACACACACCCTGGCCTAGTTATTTCAGAGGTATGGTCCAAGCATAGGTATTCTGGGAGCTGTAAAATGCAATGTTGCTTTCATTTTAATGGCACCATGTGGCCCGTTCACCTGTAGTCAAGGCTGACCCAGGGAAGAGAAAAGAGAAAATAATGCTCACTACCCTCGGCCTCTCCCAAGTAACTTTTCAGTCTTGATGAAATGATTAAAGTAGATATGGTAGATTTTACTTTCCAAAGAAGGCTCGCAGTCTCTCCGAGCCCACATAACCTTGTTTATAATGAATCTTGACAGTCCTCTCATCAAGCTTGGGTCCACCACATACCCTTCCCTTGAACTCACGGGAACCTTGGCAACCATGTCAACCACCAGATAAGAGCAGAGTGATGTTAGGTGGAGTCTCAGACTAGTCATAAAAACACCATGTGCTTCTCTTGCTCTCTAGGGAAGCTTGCTCTGAGAATCCAGCTACCAGGTTGTGAAGAAGCCCAAATAAGCCTACACAGAGACCACACAAAGACGTCACAAATGTAGGTGTTCCTGGGGTGCCTGCGAGTGGCTCAGTCGGTTATGCGTCTGCCTTCAGCTCAGGTCATGAACCCAAGGTCCTGGGATCGAGCCCCAAATCGGGCTCTCTGTTCAGCGGGGCCCTGCTTCTCCCTCTCCCTCTGCCTGTCACTCTGCCTACTTGTGATCCCTCTCTCTCTGTCAAATAAAATCTTTTAAAGAAAAAAAAATGTAGGTGTTCCAACAACAACCTAGCAGAGCTCCCAACTGACAGCCAACATCAACCTCCAGACCCTTGGCTGAAGACACCCCCCGAGTTTCCTGCCCCTAGCCAACGTGTAAAGACAGGCCTACAGCTGAGCCCCAGATACTGTATAGCAGAGAAAAGCTGTCCCCACCAGGCCATTTCCAAATTCCTGTCCCACAGCACGTGTAAGCGTAACAAAATGTTTTACACCACTAAATTTTTATGCAGCAATGGCATCTGGAACCACTGAACTCATCAGCACCAATAACAGTAACTTTATTACCACACAGAGAAAAGGACAAATATGTGTTTACTGAATTATTACATCCTAAATGCTATACTTACAGAAACCATTATAGAGGATGCTAAAAATATACTGTATTGATAAGAATTCTGTTAAGCTATAGGAACAGAAAAGCCAAAACAGTAACACTTGAACAAGAGAGAAGTTTGTTTCTCACCTAAAAATTCAGACAGGCAGCTCAGGGCTGCTATCCCCATCAGGGAGAACTCAGACAATCCCTACCTTATTTCTGTTATTCATAAAAAGAGGCTTCCATCCCATAGTCCAAGATGGCTGCTCAAGCTCCATCTATCATGTCTACATTTCAGCTAGCAGGAAGGACAAAAGGGGATGGGATGGGTAGGCCCCTCTTTATTTTTAAGATTTTATTTATTTCTTTATTTGAGAGAGAGAGAGAGTAGGGGGTAGAAGGAGGAGAATCTCAAGCAGACTCCCCGCTGAGCGCCGAGACCCAAGCAGGGCTCAATCCCAGGACCCTGAGATCATGACCTGAGCCGAAATCAAGAGTCGGATGCTGACAGACTGAGCCACCCAGGCGCCCCTAGGCCCCTCCTTTTAAGAATCCTTCCTGCAAGTGCATCCATTGGCCAGAACGCACTCACACGGCCACACCAAGATGCAGGAAAATCTGAGGAAAGCTGTCTGTTGCCTTGTCCTTGCTAATAAGGGGGAAACCTGTAGAAGAGAAAAACTGAATTTAGGAAATAAGTGGTAGATTCTGCCACAGGCATATTCCCAAACTCAATTCCTGTTTGGCTTAGGATTACAGGTTCAAATAATGACACAGCTACCTCAAGTACCATACCAATGTGGCCCCAGTCAGATTCTCAGCACTAAAGATTTAATTTAGAGCTTTCCGATTCAACACACGTCTTTAGGCAGTATCGACTGCCTCACCAGATGAGTATAAGCAAAAGGGCAAAGAAACACTTAGTAAATTAATGATCCCTAAGAAAGCAAAAGATATTCAGAGACAAATATTTCCTCTAAAAACCATAATATATCCTGGCGGGTCTTCCCGTAATCTGTGTTTCCTTGGACAAAGCACTCAATAAACCTAAAAGCCAGTTTCATCAGCTGTAAACACATATCACACATAACCAGTTTGTCGTGAGGATGAAAGGAAATTACACATGTTGAAGTGCTTTGTAAACGGTAGGGTTTTATACAAATATAAAATTATGCACCTTCAAAAGCTATCACTCCAATAAAGACACTTATTCAATTAAACATCTTTTTAAAATTTTTAACAATGTATAAATACATTCCACAAAATAATCTGCTGGTTAAAAGACACCAACAAAGTTTACAGAACCTACAACAGAATTTATAGACTCCTACAACCACTTGTAGATTGGTGACATATATTGCTTTAAGAAATACCATTAATACAAAGGCATGATTTACAATATCCCCATTATAGCAAGAAAAAAAAATAGATTCATACAATAAAATGTCTTTTAGGCATTTATTATGCCAAGTATTTAAATGATCATTCTCACTATGACATAAGAATAATACTCTTTTAGTGATAAAAGATAGATTTCATTAGGCCAAGGCCCACTGAAGAGCTTCTAGGAGTTCTAAAGTAAAATCTGACTTTCCCTTCCAAAAAATAAATAGAACAGCAGCAATCTCTAAGGAATCCCCTAACCATAAACTATGAAAATTCCATTTACATTAGCTGGGCCTTAAGGACATGAGTTATTACGAATAAAAATAAAATTTACAAACTAGTTAACCATTGGCCCAAATTTGTTTTTTACCTGCCTGTGAGTGACTAAGATAAGACGTTTCATCACAAAGTATTCATTAAGTTGTAAAATTAACAATTATTTCTAACTTACACATAGGCCAAAGTGCTCACTCTTCCCATGGAAGCAAAACTTTCTTCTGACAATAATCTACAGAAATAATATGTACACACCTAGATTTCTGAGACAGACCGAGAACATCCTCCTATATTCTACAGATCCAAATGCAAAGGTCTCCATTACGTACGTACACGAACGCACTTTCAGTAATTTAGGGTATATGGACATTACAGGACTATGTGCATACATGTATAAGCCAGGAACCAATTCTGACAATGTTCCTGGCCACACCATACTTTCAAGCCCCAAAGTGCTAGAAAGAGAATAAAAACTTGATATGAAAACTAAACTTTCCATTTTTTTAAAGTAAATTTTAAACCGGAAAAACAAACCCAACACTCCTCTTTGCAACATGTACTGAGTTCCAAAAGCCTCAGAGTCAAGAATCTCTTCAGCTGTTCCCCAGTACAACAGGACACGTGAACTTGCTCTCACTCTCTTCAGGAAGTCTGCTCATCTCCGGTGTTCTGCAAAAGAGAAAGAACTCTTTCATAGTGAGAACTATTCTACTTGACATGCCAGACTTCAAAGCACTAGGAAAACACCCCATGTCTGTAAGCAGGACCACCTCTACACTACTACCTCACAGTGCATGGCCCGATTATGTTAAAAACGTTGGCGAAGTGGAGAAGTACATCAAAGGATCCCCCGAGATGTCCAGCAAGCCGGTCCTACGCTAGCTGAATACCGCCAGGTGCCATGCAACTCTACTGACCCGACCCGTGTTATGTCAGGGTCAAGGCTCAATTTCCCTGTATTCAATGTCCCTCCCTGCCTCATAAATGCTAAAAATCCAAAGGGAAAAAACTATTCAACATACACTTGACAATTACCATACGGTGGACCCCTGCAAAGGTGTACCTGGGACTGTGCAAAAGTCCTTCAGGCAGAGACTCATGTCCCTACAAGACTGTTCGTTTTCTGGACTTTTCATCATTTATACAAGAGAAACTATACAGCAGAATGGAAAGAACAATGAATTTCAAGAGAGAAGAGGTGGGCTAGGCCCTAGCTAAGTTCCACAGGTTAGCTGTATATCCTTATGAGGTCACTCAATCTGTCAGGGCTCTAGCCATCTAACGCAGTCCCTGGACCACCAGCATCATAGTCCTGGGACCACCACCCACCTGGGAACTTGCGAGACATGCAAATTGTGAGACCCCGCCAGGTCAGCTCTGGGAGTAGGCCTCAGCCATCTTTGTTTTAGCCCTGCAGGGGATTCTTAGGCAGGTTCAAGTTTGAAAATCACTGTCCTGTAAACATTACCTGCCCAACCTACTGCACTAAAAACAAATGTGAGGTATCATACAAAGTACCTAATCAATTCTCCCAAGTGATTTACTTATTCCACTGAAATCCCTGATTTAAATCTTCATATTGGGGAGCCATAGTAAAATCTTTATGTTCTAAAAAACAAACAAATCTGAGTGCTCTAAAACAACCTTTAATGATCCAGTCTTATGTTTCTACTTGTTCTTACCATATATCCTAAAATCATAAAATACATTCTCCAAAACTTCATTTAGAGCCACCAGAATTAATCGAAAGCTACTGAACTTAAGGGAATTTTTTAAAAATATAAGTTGTTATCAATGATAGTTTATCCCTGGTTTTAAAATCTTTCAGAGAGAAACTGCTGGGAAGATGGCAGAGTAGGACAACCCTGGGCTCACTTCCTGCCACATGACCACCTAGAGAGCACCCACGTCAGTATAAATAACCCAGAGAGCAGCCCGAAAACTGGCAGAACAGACTCTCCGCAGCCCGGCATAGACAAGAGGCCACAGCGAAGCAGATCCACCCCCTCCGATCACTCTTGGCAAGATCCCGTCAAAGCGGTGCCACAAACCTGGCACTGTGTGTGCAGCCCAGACGAGGGCCAGCACCACTCCAAAGTGAGTCCTGCTCCAGGGAGAGGGGAAGATAACCACACACCCGTCTGTGACCCCCGGAGTGGGCTGGGGGCAGGCAGCTCATCTGACTGCAGGCTTCACCCTGTCCTTCTCAGGGGACAACACATGGACAGTGCCTGCAGTTTGGTGCTACTGCATCTCTGGCAAACACCTAGTCTGCCTCAACTCAAGCCCAAGGCAGCCCTGGACCGGCCCACTAACATCACAGGCACCAGACTCTGCCCACAATAGGGAGAGAGCCATCGCAGGCTGGACTGAAGGCAAACACATCCCAGTCACAACAGTAGGACACCCCTGGAGCAACACACATAGGAGACACCCCTAAAGCACCATTTTCTGCTGAAAAGGAGACATTGCACTGTAGGACCTCCTCTTCAGAAAGCCACTACTTTCAAGTGCAGGAGAAGTAGCTGACTTTTCTAACACAGAGAAACAGACGCAGCAATAGACAGATTGAGGAGACAGAGGAATATGTCCCAAATGAAAGAACAGAACAAAATCAGAGCAGGAGACCTAAGCGAAACAGAGATAAGTAATATGTCTGATAGTGAATTTAAAGTAATGCTCACAAAGATACTCGCTAGAATTGAGAAAGGAGTGCAGGACCCCATGAGACCCTCCACCAAGAGATAGGAGATGTAAAAAAGAACCAATCAGAGCTATTGGACTCACTAAATGGAAATAAAAATAGACCACCTGGAATAAACCACAAACAAGAGGAAATAGAAGAAAGGATCAGCCACCTGGAGGACAGGGTCATGGAACGTAATCAAGCTGAGCAGATGAGAGGGGGAAAATATGCAAATAAGAATAGACCCAGGGAACTCAGCAACACTGTCAAGCATAAGTCGCATGATAGGGATCCCAGAAGGAGAAGAGAGAGAAAAGGGGGCAGAAGATTGTCTGAAGAAATAATAGCTAAAAACTTCCTGAATCTGGGGAAAGAAAGAGAAATCCAGATCCAGGAGGCACAGAGAGCGCCCAACACAACCAACCCAAAGAGGTCTGCACCAAGATACAAAGTAAATAAGATGGCCAAAAGCAGTGACAGAGAATTTTAAAAGCAGCAAGAGAAAGGAAAGCAGGTACATACAAGGGAAACCCCATACAGCTATCAGTGGGTTTTTCAGCAGAAACTGTGCAGGCCAGAAGAAAGTGGCATGATCAATTCCAACTGCTAAAAGGAAAAAATCTACAGCCAAGAATACTCTATCCAGCAAGGCTTTCATTTAGAATAGGAGAGATCGAGTTTCCCAGAAAAACAAAAGTTAAAAGCAAAACCTGCCACGTCCCTGTCACACTGGATGCCATTGGCCTGTGGGTCCCAAATTCACAGTCCAACCACCCCCCTGCCCGAGTCAGCATACACGGCCTGCCACCTGCTCAATGCCAAGTCAACACACCTTCACCTCAGACTGCCAAGGGCTCAAACTGGCACTCTTCCCCTCAAATTCCAACCCCGGTGCTCAACTTTGTGCACAAAAGTGGGCATAATTATAACAGCAGAATGAAGCAACCCAAACAGTGACACTATTTCTATGGAATATAGAATGGATAAAGGGAGTGTGCTAGGCTGAGAACATCAACAAGCACATCAAAGAACAATACATACAGCATGATTCTGGTTAGTAAAAAAAAAAAAAAACCTGGGACAAATGAAACAAGATGAAATCAGAGAGGGAGACAAACCACAAGAGACTCTTAAGCATAGGAAAGAAACTGAAGGTTGCTGGAGAGGAGTTGGGGGGCCGGCTGGGGTAACTGGGTGATGGGCATGAAGGAGGGCATGTGATGGAATGAGCACTAGGTGTTGTATGCAAATGATGAATCACTGAACTCTACCTCTGAAACTAATAATATATGTTAATTAACTGAATTTAAATTAAAAAAAGGAAACCATAAAATAAAATAAAATAATAAAATAATAAAATTAAATTAAATTAAAAAATTAAATAAATAAAATTAAATAAAATAATTAAAATAAAATAAAATAAAATAATAAAAAATAAATAAAATAAAATAAAATAAAATAAAAATAAAATAATA